TAATACCAAGGATGGATTTTTGATTTTTGGTGGAAATAGTGGGGGAAGTGGAAATAAATTTAGGGAAGGTGAAGCACTTAACCCATTTAGTGACAGCACTCTGACAAGTGAAATTGTCTGACATCCAAAGTGGGGCACATTGCCACTTGAAGGGTTAGTAGGGTGCATGGACAGATAGTTTGATTAACCCATTGAGTGGCGGCACTCTCCCCCTGACAAGTGAAATTGTCTGACATCTAATTAGACAGTAAAAGAATAAAGTGGGGCACATTGCCACTTGAAGGGTTAGTAGGGTGCATGGACAGATAGTTTGATTAACCCATTGAGTGGCGGCACTCTCCCCCTGACAAGTGAAATTGTCTGACATCTAATTAGACAGTAAAATTGTAAAGTGGGGCACATTGCCACTTGAAGGGTTAGTAGGGGTGCATGGGCAGATAGTCTGATTAACCCATTGAGTGGCGGCACTCTCCTCCTGACAAGTGAAATTGTCTGACATCTAATTAGACAGTAAAATAATAAAGTGGGGCACATTGCCACTTGAAGGGTTGATAGGGTGCATGGGCAGATAGTCTGATTAACCCATTGACAGTCAGCACTCTCCTCCTGACAACTGACAAGTAAAATAATACAGTGGGGAGCATCCAGGCTGCTGGGCACATCGCCATTTAAAGGAGTGACCTTAAATTTATGAGGCATTAACCATATATATTTGGATAATAATACCATGAATCTGGCTGGATATTTTCAACTATCCAACATACTATATTGTGTACATATCTGGCTGGATAGCAAAAACTATCCAACCTATCCTGTATCCAGCAGGATAGCAAAAAAGACTCTACTCTCTACACCCCTTCAAAGAACTTAAAGTAGGTAACATTTAGAAGAGGAAATTGCTTCTTAGGTGTTAATACTTAAAACGTGAAATATGGGCAAGCACTCCACCATCGAGTTAAATATTGCAGTAGTTAAAGTGGGGAGTGTTAGGTAAAATTGCATCTAAATATGTCAACATGAAACATGGGCAGAGTCTAGCTAGACACTTCCCTGGACAAATAAAATTGTCCGGCATTAGTTAAGATAACATTTAATTTTAACAAAGTCCTGAAAATTAGGCTTATTGGAGTATTATTATTCATGCATTTTTAGGACTTAATTGTCAATAAACCAAGTTGCCATATAACACATCAAATTGACATTTTTTATCTAAACCGACCCACTTATACTGTATATATATACCAGGGTGCATTCCATGTAAACTCTACGCCGGAGATACGCCAACATAATGCAACATTAACTATAGATAGTATTGTAATTTGTGAAACTCACGCCGGATATCTTCGCACTTTTGTGCACAGAATGCACTCTGGTATATATATGAATACACATTTGAAACTTATGAAAGTAGCAGTTGATATTATTAAAGTCAATAAATTCTCTCAAGCCACGTTTAGCTGGGACGTGCTTAAGTGGGCACATGATATGAGGATTGAGTAGAAATGTAGAATGATGCCAATTATAAAGCTATATTATTCTAGACAAGAAACATTGTTACAAATTATCTGTCATATTATTAGATATATAAACTAGGGCTGAGTCAAATGCAAGCCTTTGTAAAAACTAATGTATTTATATTATCGTTTTAATTCAAATATTGTCGCGGCAAATTCAAATTTTAAGCCGGAACACATGGTTCAAAATTCACGAATGAAGATTGCAAATATTTCGTTTCAAACTTGCTCTATTATATAGAAAACATAACAATATTCTTACCTGTATGCTAGGCAATCATCCATGATGTTTTATCCTCGTTAAAAGGCATCGTCTTGCCTTCAAATACTCATTTTTACAGGCAACAAAAAATCAAAATGAATAATAAAAATTTCGAATAAATATGGCGGCGTCAGTGTGATGACGCTATCCCGGGAGGCTTTGCGCGTGTTGTCGGAAAACTAGGTCCCAGCCTGTCCGTGCGAAACCGCGCTCGTCGATCGTTAGCCTGCTCACAGGCTCTATTATATAGAGCCTGCGACTTTTATTGATATTTTTTCAATACGCCCCCTTTGAGATAATTGAATATCCGGTAAATATTAGCCAATCAAAGCAAGTTTTGTTAATTAGATTACCAGAGGTTATTAACAACAACAAACAGTTTCTCGCGCAATTTTACGCCTGTATCTTTCACTAGGATTCCAAGGTCTAAACTTTAATCTAAAATAATTCATGGTCGTTTTTTCCCTAAAATGTTCTAATATTTAAAACATAGTCCCGTTTGTATATTGCTGTCTTGTTCGTACATTGCCGTTTTAAATTGTGTAACTATACTACAGAGACGTAAAATTTTACTCTCTATTAGTTAATGTATTTTATATATTTATATCCAAAATATAACTGTAAGATTTAAGGAAACGTATTTAGGTTTTGAACAAAGTAACAAACACTATTTATTAAAAGTGTCGAACAATAGCAGGCTAAAAAACATTAATCATTATTGCGGAAGTCTGTCATTTGCTCAATAATACAATTAACTCAATAGACAATAGACAATTTGAAAACCCGTGGCCGTGGCATCGATTCTGCCGTGTTTAATAACTACATTTTTTTGTAAAAAGCTCTTGTTGTAATAATATATGTCACTAGTTGAGACTCCCAAAAATAAAGTCTCAAAGAGAGAGCGGACTTCGGTCAAAAAACACGCAAACGACTATTGCAAAATTTCCAGGTGTAAATTCAAATTGGCCAGGTGTTCTAAAAACGACTTTCCTCGACGGCGTCTGTTTTAATAATTTGCCCATTGTCTTGACTTATTCAAGACCAGATTGTTTAGGCAGAAAGCCTTGGGTTGACAGGGAAGTATTTGGGAGAAATGTTCGGAGGCATTTGACAATCAACTGCTTTATACTAGCTGATTCACTGCCTGTGTCTCAACGAACGTCTCGCTGGGCTAACCTTAAGTTGTTCAACGTTTGAAACCGCAAGTGATGTAAACGCGGTTAGATAAATTGTCAGCCTGAACTAGACTTATTTTACTCTCTCTGCAAAGATCAGCAAGGCATACGTCGAAGTTTTCCCTTGTACTTCTTTGGAAAAGGTTTATTATTATAGCTGACGAAGATAAAGTATCGGTATATTACATGTAAACTTTTATCAAATCCCGTTGGAAGTACAGTTAATATTGCTAACCTTCGCTCATCCTTCAACGTTAATTTAAATTGAAAGTTTCAAATACATTCAGTTACTTCTTCGAAGAGATAAACAAAGTCATGGTTTTATACGCCACTGATTGAATGCCAGCTTTAAAATTACATTGCGAAATGTCGTACGAGTTAAATATTTGCACGATATTAACAACTCATGGGGCACTTCTGACCAATGGGAATTTTGCGTACGCTCCGTACGCATAAATCGACTTTTTACTAATAAAGGTCGCAGGCCGTTCCTCCCATGCAGCCTCTGCCTGACAACGGCCTGCGAGCAGGCTAGTCGATCGTGAGAATTTTCGTTTGCATGTTTATATGTCACACGACAAACACTATAAATATTTTGTGTAAATAGAGTTTCCATGAACTCATGAAGAATTTAAAATTAACTCGGACGGCAAAATTTTGACCAGGTAAACTAAATAAATACAATTGAAATATAAAATAAATATCAAAGTTTAGCCACTGTCACTGACACTGTGTCTGTGGTGTATTGACTAAAGGTCTCCCCTCTTTACGAGTAAAATCTAGTGTTTGACTGAGTAAAACAACAAAGGCCAACAAAGGTATGGATGCATTACAGAAATAAATTACATGCAGAATTGGATAACAGAAAACACTGCCAGAGCAGATTTGACCAATTTAGAATGGGTTACTGATTTGACCAATTTCGAATTGGTTATGGATTTGACCAATTAAAAAATTCGTTATGCATTTGACCAATTTCCAATTGGTTATGGGAATTGACCAATTAATAATTGGTTACCCATTTGACCAATTTACAATTGGTTATGGGATTTGACCAATTAAAAATTGGTCATGGATTCGACCAATTTAAAATTGGTTATAGAGATGACCAATTTAAATTGGTTATGCATATGACCAATTTTAAATTGGTTGGGGATATGACCAATTTTTATTGGTTATTTTGGGAAATTCAACATTGACTGATCAAAAGAAATTGGTTAAATTTACCATTTTAAATTGGTTAAAAATTCAACCAATTATGTATTGGTCGAAATGACCAATATTTAGTTGGTCATGTCAGACTAACCTATTCTTCAATTGGTTAAAATGACCAATTTAAATTGGTTGCAACCAATTTAAATTGGTCATTTTAACCAATTTGTTTTTACTGTGTATAGTCTGGTTGTTTTAGCAAGAACGTTGTGGTCAAACATGACCATGAACTTTCCTGCAGGTCACGTGAACCAGACTACGGAAGTGAGATAAAAAACCCAAGAAATTTAAAAAAGGAATATCAAGGATGGGTAGAGAGGAGAGGGATGGGGATCGGGGAGGGGTGGGGTGTAAATGTGCATGTGCACCTCCCCTGAGATCGATTTGCACCTTCCATGAAAAGATATGCACAACCCGTTGGGAAAGGTTAAATGATAGGTCAAAGTGAAAATTTGACACATTTTTATGCGTTGTTTAGGGTATACACGTTGTAAGAACGTCTTTCTGTAAAACTGAAACAGTAATAGCCATTCGTCTCCGTGTCAAGTACCCTTTTAATGCAATGTTTCAAAAAAAACTTTGTAGAAATGTAATGACGGGCAAAATTAGATGAATTGTACAGTAATAGACAGTTCTTCATAAATACACTGATACACATGCGGTACGTACATGCACATGTCATGCGTAGTTGACATTAAAGGTGAGCGGGTACGTTATAAACCCTAACATTCCATGGGGCCGTGAGCTAGACCGCTCCGGCTCCCTCGCCATTTCCGCCATATCTGCATGGCCTTGCATTACAACTCTTATAAAACAAGGCGACTCGTTTTCTATTTCTTAAAAGCAACGTACTTCCGATGTCGTCTTCGAACTTGAATTGATAGTTACAAAACGACCATCTTTTGTACAGCTCACATCAACAAAAAACCTAAAAAGTAGAAATAAGATATTTAAAACGACAACAAAGAGCGCATTTTTGACAACAATGCCTGACAGTCTTACTCGTCAATAAGAAATTCGAATGCCTCACTGCATCAGTCGTCAATTATTAATATATTCAAACTGCAATACACCGACCTAGCGTCGTTTTCTTCAAAAATCAATTCGTCTTTCGATGTATCCTGTCCGATTTCATGCTTCCATACTTTGTTTGCTCGGTGTAAGTTATTGAATGTAGTATAATACAAGATGTTATCAACACCAGACCACTCTAGAAAAATTTGGAAAAAACTTTGAGATTTGGTTCAATTAAGATTATGTAATACGGTATAATACCAAAACTGTGACAGGGATCGGTATAACATGTCGCGTGTTCCTATATATCAATACCATCAGAATGTGGTTATATTCACGCGCGGAATTATTGACAAGATAGAAAGTTTTGTGAATATATAATTATTCAAACCAAAAATATAATCATTTTTTTAAACATATAATTATGTAAATACTTATCGATGTAATTGGCATTGTTTGAATTTTTTATCATTCTTAATTTGTTAGTCCACAGTTTGGAAAAAAACGAAAAAGTCTCACCACGATCAAAAATGGAATAAAACGGCAAATAAAAGCGAACATGGCTTGAATTGGCTTCAAGATTTATATAAAGCCATGCATGTGGTAATCCAAAGGCCACAGGTTTTTCAGTGAAAACTGTAATTTGTTACCCTTGTTAAATAATTGCAGGTTATTGTTAATATTACTGTTTTATGTGAAAATATTTCAAGAATAGCCAATATATAAAATATCTGTAAAGATGCTTTTGTATACAATTTTAAAAACTCTTGCAATCAAGATGAAATCTGCATCAGATAATCAATGTCAATCGATTAAATTTCCATTCATTTAGAATAGTCTTCGTGAGTGATTTTCCAATCCTTGTACCTATATTAACACATGGTAACTGTTCCACAATCTTTCCTGGGTTTTCCACAGTGTCAATCAAAATGCCACAATAAGTATCGTTTCTTGAAATATCCGCAATGAATGCAACATACTGAAAATAAAAAGCGAATATTACTGTAGGTATATAGATCGCTTAAATGCAAATTATTCATTATTATTTTATGCAAAATCTGGCTAAATTGCAAACGATTTAGAACTTTGCATCGAAGAGTCGCAATAATATACCTTTTGAGACGGGGATATTTTCATAGTTCGTACATCAAAATGTTCCCAATAACCAACAGTACTTGCCTCGTCTAATAATATTTCTTCATCAAAACCTTAAAGCGGAAATTCTGAGCCATTAGAAAAAGAATATTGGGCAAATTATAAAATAGTACATATTTTATAATAGTATATATTTTTTTGTTATTCAAACTTTATATAACCATGATTGCAAACGAGAAAGTTATATCAGTCTTATGAAATTTGGGGAATCCGCGAAATGCGAATATTGGCTACGAAATGCGAAAATAGCGCACTGTTATAGCTTAAAAACAAAATATATACTGTAAATATGTTAACTTGTCAGAAATCATTAATAATTCAGGAGCAAAGCACGAAGGAAACAAGCACCGTATCGTTGTTTTGATATTACAGTACGGTAATAAACGCCCATAAAATGTAAAGTTAAAGACAGCATACAGGAATATCCAATGTGAACACTATACTCTATAGTCAGTCCTACTGGCAGTGGCGGCGCCAAAAAAAATATATTAGTCACTGAGAGCGACTAAAGGCTACACAAGCGTTTTGTCGTTATCGGAAAATGTATGGCTTGTAAGTTGTCGTTACTCATTAGTGAATGCGCGTATACATGAAACTGTTTTTTACAGTTTCAATATTAGTTTGTAAATCTCTGAATGGTAAAACTTGCCAATACTCCAAGAATACGTTTCAAAAAAGACAAAAAAGCTTTAGTTTTGCGGAGTTAAATTCTCAAACGTGTAAGGCACTAATAAGATGAAAGTATCACGAAATTATTCAAATAAACCACATCGCATATATGCATGGGGGGCGAATATCCTAAAGGGGGGCGATATTCCTAGGAATATCGCCCCCCTTTTGAGAGGGGGAGAATCTCCTGGGGGGGCAAAAGTCCTGTGACAACGGCATGAGCAAATAGCAATACCTTTTTAGAAATTCTATCTTGCCCCCCCAAATATGAGTTTGCCCCTCAAATGCCCCCTCCCCCCCCCCCAAATTCTGAGGCCTGGCGCCGCCACTGCCTACTGGTACATAAATTAACCCAAATATCGCCTTGGATTTCTCTTTGAATACAAGTCCGTTTCAGAATAAGTATTGCTTCTTATATTATTATTAGGATCCAAAAACGTGGAAATCTGCATGCGTGTTTAAACTGTATAACTATTGACGTAGTTTGAACAGTGCATGTTAATATAAATTGTTGTTTCTAGTTATTATATGTTGAAGAGCCCACAGTAATTGGTTTTAACGGCGAAGTTATATAAATAAATAAATAAATAAATATATAAATATTATAACAAACTCGAAAGCAGTTCATTACAAGTTATAAAGAAACCAAAAGTATGTGGAAAAACTCGGTTTTCAACACACTTTCGGGATTCGGCACGCTCAGCAAAATGGCAATTTTTATTCCATATCACGTGATCATAATCAGCTAATGAAATAACCAGAATTTAATGAGGTGTTATATAATACATAGTATCTACCATTTTGTTGTCTTCTACAGTGAACTATGAAGTTTGGATCATCTTTCGACCTTCTTGTGTAATACAGAAAGTTTCCAAAGCTCTAGGATTAAAGGATATATTAGTTACAGTTACATCTGGTCAAGATATGGACAAGAAACCGAACCTTTGACTTTTGTTCTGTTGTTCATGTTTATGACTTTATGAAAAACAATGCCTTTATCGAATTAAATGGACCAATCGTCCAATGAGATTCATCCAAGTAAAGATAAAATAGTTTCTATTTTGTGGCCAAGCAATTGACTGTTGAGCACAATATAAATGCCTTGGTCTGAATAATGATATAATTTCACATTGTAAAATTCACAGTAATTAAGAATATTTTATTTGCTAATTACCACTGGTAAATTATTTTCTAAGGAGCTCCCACTTCGATGAGCCATGTCTTCAAATTTTCCTTCAAGACCTCTCTGAAATAGGACAGAGTCGCTCATCACCTTACTGGTAAATCTAAACACATTCACATAAACTAAAATCAAGATACCGAATGAAGTGCCTCCCAATAGACAAAACCTGGCTAACATTTGCTTATACAACTATATTTTTGGACCATACCAATGATACCATTTTATACAACATTTGAAAGGGGATAACGGGGGATTTAATAATCATTATATTACTTTACTCATTTTGCGGAATTCTTTACAGAATGACTTAATTAAAATTCACTACAGGTGATGTTCTTTAAAGGTCGGTACACACTAGGCGACAAATCGCTATGTGTGTACAGTCAGGCGACAGGTCACACGAGCTCATTGCGGCGATAGGTTGCAGCAACAAATCGCCTCGTGTGAACTACTTCTCAAATCAAAATCGCTAATGATATTTTTTTCCTGATTTTGTCGATGCGATAGGTTGCACAAAATCAAACCAGTTTAAATTTGTGGGGCATGTTGCGGCGACAAAATTTTCCAACTTTTCGAAGAAACTTGTCGCGGCGACGTGTTGCAGTGATTTGTTGCCTCGTGCCGGTACCAACCTTAAAGAGGCTGTCAAGACCGTTCTGCTCATGCGCGTGTTTCGTTTACATTTCTTGTTTCAAACAATAGATAATTTAATATTAAAATTCCGATCTGTGGACCAACAGATCGGAATTTTATTTAAATTATCTATTGTTTGAAACAAAAAATGTAAACAAAACACACGCATGAGCAGAAAGGACTTGACAGCCTCTTTAACTGAGGTTCGCGGGGGTTTTTTGCCACTGGTTTACCGCAATTATCGGGCCTGTGCTTGAAACGCCGTACCACCTATAAAAGTCCTATAGCATCATCGCTATAGTACCCACTACACTGGCACCAAGTGCAAGCGTTCCAGATTTTCACGTACTATTTAAAACACGAGCACGAGAGCGCAGCTCGAATGTTTTATATATATCTGATCAAGCACGGACTGCAAGTGTTTAAATGGCTTCAAAAACGATCCATCTGCTAGTTCACTAACCAAGTAATTTTTAAAATAAACATTGTCTAAGCCGAGAAAAACAAAAGTAAAGTTTATGTAAATGAGCAACATGATTTTTTATCACATATAATTTCCTTCGTCTTTTCCTCATGAATTATCAATTTTTAAAATTTTTTACCAAGCTATACACCAACCTGTTCTCATTTTTCACTATTTTCTTGACTTTCTACATATAAAAATAACATTAAGTATGTTAAGCAAAAACAGTGCAAAGCAACATGAGTATGCTTTAAGGCCAAGGGAAAAATACCTGCCTGGGTTTTCGGTTTCCCGATCCTACCTAGCTTTTGACCACTGAAATCACGGACCCTAATCGTTTTGCCTGAAGCCCCCTCTGCATAGCAACTAGCAAGGTCTGTGACACAGGCTACCCCTCCAAGGTTCTAGCACACCCATGAGTACAAGTGCACTGTAAAAACTGATAGGTTAAAATAACCTATTTGTAAAGGTTATCACTTATATAAATAGGTTGTTTTAACCAATTGAATAGGTTATAACCAAAATAAATAGGTTAAAATAACCAATTATTTTTTGGTTAATCTCTAACATTTGGGTACAACTAATATAAATAGGTTAATTTAACCAATTGACCAAAGTAAATAGGTTAAAATAACCAATTATATTTTGGTTAATCTTGAACAATACAACTAATATAAAAACAAGTGAACGAAACTCTAAAGATCGATAACATTTTTATATTTATCAATGGAGTTTCACTTGTTTTGTATTTTGTAAAATACTCAGTAGTTCAAAAAATTATTGTATGACAATTTTAATAGGTTGTTATCTTGGGTGTTTAGCCAATACTGATAACAATAGCCATGCAGGTTGTTTTAAATATTTTTATAATACTAATCATAATACATAAACTTTGTACGTGGCAAATCATGTCAACCATTAATGAGTTAAATTATAAGCCAATAATAATTGCTCAAAAGACAAAACAGTTATAGGCAATTATAGATTTATAGGCAATATTAGTTCAGTACGTCATAATCTTTGTTAATAAGATTAGAAAATACATCTTATTTTTACATATTTATACTGATTATATAGTATACTATATACAGCACGGTACAGACCAAACATTGAATTGTTTATCACAGTCATTTCAACATATAGTATGCATTCAAGCAGGGACCATACCACCATAAATCGTCTTTTAATCTCCACGACTCCACGTATTGGGGCGGTGGGGGGGGGGGGTTAGGCTGGCTATTTATGGGAATGAATAGTGAAAAGAGGTGGGGTTTTAGCAATTGACATGAATATACAATTACCTAAAAAAATACTACTTTAATAGTTGGTCTGTCATAAAGTCATAAACTGAGTATAAACTGAGTTTATAGTGATCTAATGTATTTTCATGTGCCTGGGGAGGGCATGTGGGGAGGTCTAGTCTCCAGAACTAAAATATTTAAAATATGTATTTACCTTATATCGCGTCGTAAATTCTTTAATTATTGGCATGCAAGGAAGATATTACAAGACAGCTAGAATTTTGAAGATGGAATTAAGAGTTTCAGTCGAAAAACAGAGATACAGGATTATTTGAACTGGATTGTTCACATTATTGAGATCAGTGCGTTCAGTCAATCGCGTTGCCAAATATGGGCTCCCATAAGGCTTAGCGAGCACACTCCGAGCGCGTCCTTTGGAAATTTTATTTTAACGTCGGTTGATATAGCCAAGATTTCTTAACATATTGAAGAAAATAAGAAGTAATACTCCAATTTTCGAAGATAAAGACAATAATTTTAAATGTAAGTGTTCAACTATGTCAATATTTTTAAGTTTCGTGTGTAAATATGTGCCATAAATAGTAATATATTCATGTATATTTTAACCGCCGTGCGTTGGCCGCATGTATATTTGTGTGAAAGGTTCAACAATATATTGCTATTAAAATACGTTAAAACTTAGTGATATTGCCTTGTATATTTACAGATTATATTTTCAAGCAATTAATAATGCCATAATATGTGATCTAAGCAAGTCGAACTGTCGAAAACATGATATATACAGGCTACAAGAAGGTATGAAATATACAGTAGAATCAGTAGATAGAACAAAGGTAGGATTGTTCTCTCATACAAAGCTAGACTGCTAGAGAACTTACTTTGGCGATT